CAGATGTTTCGGTAGACTATGCCAGCCACCTGGTTATGGCGTTCCATGTAGGCTTTCCCTTCCAAGTTTTTTTTCCCCCTGCAGTTCATCCTGTAGAGCAGCAGTGCCCGAACTTTTTTGACGGAAGATCTACTTTTCCCTCAACCAACCTCCCGCGATCAACCCGTTACCGCACACGCGCGCATACGCACACACATACACACTCATGCCATAATGAGCAACAGCCATAACGGCCGCTAAGATGAACGAGGCACAGGACGCACTTTCACAGCGTGCTAATATTAAAACAAAAAAATATATTTCCTTACCCCATCTTTTTCCATTTTTAAACATTTTTGAAAAAGCTCCAGGGAGCCACCAGGAGGCACTAAACAACCGTATGCGGCTCTTGAGCCGCGGTTTGCCAATCCCCGGGTTAGCCCGTCAATCACTGTTCAGTCACATGCTTTCAGCAACTGCTGCATTATCATATTTTCTTGAGGTAGTCAAAAATAAAGCGGTCTAAAAAAAAGTAATATCCTGACTTGTTAATAGTTAAGTGCACAAACATTTTAAAAAAAAAAAATTAATTCAACGACAAAAGTTCATTCTATTTTTTCCAAAGATTACTGGTTAGCCCCATCCTTTTTTGTTTTTGTTTTAGTTTTTTTTTTGAAGAAGAAGAATCAGAATCCAGAATCAATAGTAACTGGAATCCAATCGAAGAGCTAGAATTGGCGATGGTTATATAGGGGGCAAGGTGTAGCAGCTGACATTGAACAAATGATGGTCATTTAACTTTTAACTGCGTCCTCATTGTTTTTTGCCCGCTTTAGTTCATGTTCTCTATCAGAAGTGGTTTTTGCCTGGCGTTTTGGAAAGAACTGATCCAAGGACGTTTGCTTTTATCGGCTTTTAACAATAAAATACCATGCAATACAAGACATGCTGATTTATATAGCGCTTTCACAACAGCGGCAGCTGTAACAAAGCGCTTAACAAAACAGTTAACATAAAGTAAAACATACATAACATAAAACACGGACAGTCGTGCAGTCCTAACCACTTTTCCGGGACACGCTTTGTTGTTTGAAGCAGTTTGAGATGAAAGAGGAGAGAATCAAAGTGTCCTTTC